TTGCTCAACATGTTGCTCAACGTGTTGCTCAACGTGTTGCTCAACTCGTTGCTCAACTGTTGCTCAACTTGTTGCTCAACATGTTGCTCAACATGTTGCTCAACACGTTGCTCAACACGTTGCTCAACTTGTTGCTCAACACGTTGCTCAACTTGTTGCTCAACATGTTGCTCAACATGTTGCTCAACTTGTTGCTCAACTTGTTGCTCAACATGTTGCTCAACATGTTGCTCAACTTGTTGCTCAACATGTTGCTCAACACGTTGCTCAACACGTTGCTCAACTTGTTGCTCAACATGTTGCTCAACTTGTTGCTCAACACGTTGCTCAACATGTTGCTCAACATGTTGCTCAACGTGTTGCTCAACACGTTGCTCAACTTGTTGCTCAACTTGTTGCTCAACATGTTGCTCAACATGTTGCTCAACACGTTGCTCAACACGTTGCTCAACTTGTTGCTCAACATGTTGCTCAACTTGTTGCTCAACACGTTGCTCAACATGTTGCTCAACATGTTGCTCAACGTGTTGCTCAACTTGTTGCTCAACTTGTTGCTCAACTTGTTGCTCAACATGTTGCTCAACACGTTGCTCAACTTGTTGCTCAACATGTTGCTCAACTTGTTGCTCAACACGTTGCTCAACATGTTGCTCAACATGTTGCTCAACGTGTTGCTCAACTTGTTGCTCAACACGTTGCTCAACACGTTGCTCAACTTGTTGCTCAACATGTTGCTCAACTTGTTGCTCAACACGTTGCTCAACACGTTGCTCAACACGTTGCTCAACATGTTGCTCAACACGTTGCTCAACTTGTTGCTCAACACGTTGCTCAACACATTGCTCAACTTGTTGCTCAACATGTTGCTCAACATGTTGCTCAACACGTTGCTCAACACGTTGCTCAACTTGTTGCTCAACACGTTGCTCAACATGTTGCTCAACATGTTGCTCAACTTGTTGCTCAACATGTTGCTCAACATGTTGCTCAACTTGTTGCTCAACATATTGCTCAACATGTTGCTCAACTTGTTGCTCAACATGTTGCTCAACTTGTTGCTCAACATGTTGCTCAACTTGTTGCTCAACATGTTGCTCAACGTGTTGAGCAACATGTTGCTCAACTTGTTGCTCAACACGTTGCTCAACACGTTGCTCAACTTGTTGCTCAACATGTTGCTCAACATGTTGCTCAACTTGTTGCTCAACATATTGCTCAACATGTTGCTCAACTTGTTGCTCAACATGTTGCTCAACTTGTTGCTCAACACGTTGCTCAACTTGTTGCTCAACTTGTTGCTCAACATGTTGCTCAACATGTTGCTCAACTTGTTGCTCAACACGTTGCTCAAACATGTTGCTCAACGTGTTGCTCAACATGTTGCTCAACTTGTTGCTCAACTTGTTGCTCAACATGTTGCTCAACACGTTGCTCAACACGTTGCTCAACTTGTTGCTCAACATGTTGCTCAACTTGTTGCTCAACACGTTGCTCAACATGTTGCTCAACATGTTGCTCAACGTGTTGCTCAACTTGTTGCTCAACTTGTTGCTCAACATGTTGCTCAACACGTTGCTCAACACGTTGCTCAACTTGTTGCTCAACATGTTGCTCAACTTGTTGCTCAACACGTTGCTCAACATGTTGCTCAACGTGTTGCTCAACGTGTTGCTCAACACGTTGCTCAACTTGTTGCTCAACTTGTTGCTCAACATGTTGCTCAACATGTTGCTCAACACGTTGCTCAACACGTTGCTCAACTTGTTGCTCAACACGTTGCTCAACTTGTTGCTCAACATGTTGCTCAACATGTTGCTCAACTTGTTGCTCAACTTGTTGCTCAACATGTTGCTCAACATGTTGCTCAACACGTTGCTCAACTTGTTGCTCAACACGTTGCTCAACTTGTTGCTCAACTTGTTGCTCAACATGTTGACAGGAACCGCCGGAGGAGGGCGGCTGTGTTTGGTTTCAATGGATACAGCGTGGGGTCATTAGTGATGCTGATGTTTGAAACTGTTGGTTTCAAAATGTGCCGCGTTTTTCCAACCGGAGTCTTTTATGAATCCAATATGACAGATCAATAAGCGAACAGGAAAAGCTTCTGGGTCTGAAGGACAATTAAAATATCACTTCATTATTTCAGCGATTATTATTCCATCTGGTTGTTTTGTAAATGTGTCAAATTTTAACTACTTATTAAATGTCTACCAGCTAATACTTTGTAATGAATTGGAAGATTTTAATAGTCATTAATAATAAATTTGGTGTGTTTTTTATTCATAGTTTTGAAACCAATCATATTTCAAAATATTGAGCAGAATTTCAACAGAAATGAAAAGACTCATGAAACTTTCTGGTTCGTTTTAACGTTGTTCATAAGCTGCTTGTTTTCATTCACCATTTTTTGTAAATAATTCATAAATTCAGATTCTTCTCAAATTCAACAGCTTAAGTTTTAGCAGAAAGTATAGCTACAACTTTAGCAGTGAGCATATGCTAACCATACATTCCAGCTAATGCTAAATAGTTAATTATACGTAAGTTAAGGTCATTTAAATAAAACATTAATATTAATAAACTGATATGGTTACTGCGCTGAATTTTAAGATAGCTAGGCTAAAACATTAGAACAGAAATTTGGCTAGTTTTTGCTAAACCTTGAACTCTTAGCAGTTACTAAACTTTAGCTGCTTACCTATTCAAATTAATTAGCTTAAATAGGTTAGTTTAGTCAAAATTTTATTGTTTCTTAAACAGTTGTGAAACAAACAATTATGATTTTAAGTTATGCTAAAACTGAACTTGTAGCTAATGCTATTTGCTAAAGTTTAAGCTAACAACATTTCAACTGTACTGTTAGCATGAGCTAACCTTCATCCTTTTTGAAAATTAGAATTCAATTCTTGGTTCTCAGATTTTTTGCTATGATTACATTTATTTGAATTGAAACATGTTTATTATATCTTGGTGCATCAATAATCTTAATCTATGGTTAAATAATCTCTGGAGAAGTTTCCATATTTCATCTGCTGCTGTTTTCTTCCACTTTGCTTCTCATTGATGCTGATACGATTCATCACATTGATCTATTTAATAAAACATCATTTTCAGCTCCAGGATCTCCAATAACTGAATTATTATCAGAAACCGGCTCATAAATGTTTTAAACTTTGATCCACAACATTCTGGAGATGATCTGAGCTTCTGCTCCCGGTTCTGGTTCTGCTCTCGGTTCTGGTTCTGCTCCCGGTTCTGGTTCTGCTCTCGGTTCTGGTTCTGCTCCCGGTTCTGGTTCTGCTCTCGGTTCTCTCCTCTCCCGGTTCTGGTTCTGCTCCCGGTTCTGGTTCTGCTCTCGGTTCTGGTTCTGCTCCCGGTTCTGGTTCTGCTCCCGGTTCTGGTTCTGCAGAGGTTGGTTCTGAAATGAAACAGCCGAGCTTCTGAATGAACGTTTGTGTAAAGTCCCTCAGTTCAGCTCCACTCCCTCCACATCCTGTCAGTCGGGGATTTCCACTCCAAGCAGCCAACATGGCCGCCGGAGCCGGTTCTGGGAGACCTTCCTCCGTGTGACGGATCTGAAGTCGACCTGCTCATGTAAAATTCAGCAGTTTCCCTGTTGGGCTCAGAATCTGCCGCAGGTTCATCCTCCGGTCAGCGGAGCAAAGTCTGTTTCAGATAAAGCAGCTCAAACCAGAAACAGGCTTCATCTGCAGAAAATGGACAGCTGGAGATTTCTGAACAAAGATTCAGTTTCAAGAGTTTCAAAGGAACTGGAAAGATTTTTAATGAGCATAAAATGAATTAAACCTGCATTTATGTTCCCTTTACATGACGCATTTTCCATCCTTTGTATGCCACAGTAAAGTAACTCTGTTACTTATAATGTTCTAAAAATGCTTTGACTTAAAATAAATGTCACTTCCTGATTTAATGCCTTGAAATTGAGCCTGTCTCTTTAAGAAGCTCCTGTGCTGTCTGAAGCTCCGCCTCCAGGAAGTCATTCCAACATGGCTCCTCTATTAACCCTGTAACGTTTTTTAGCAGCGTCGCTCTGAGATGAGCTCAGCAGGTGTTTGCTGATTGCTGCTGATCTCCTGGTGACTGAATCATAAAATCTGTGAATTATTTTCATTTTAGACTCAAAGTTTGTTGTAAAGCTTTGAGTTTATGGACTCCAAACTGAAAGCCATGTTTTTCTTTGCTACCTTCTGTTGGTCTTTAACATAAAATCCCTCCAGAACAGATGACAGTTAAAAGGATATTAACATGAACACATGAAGAAGCAGCATTCAGATATTCTCTGAAACGATTCATCAATATCTGCGTTTTCATTACAAATGTTGACAAAACTTTCACTAATGTGGAAAAAACACAAATTCGGTGATTCCCATAAATAAATATGAATAAGTTTTTTCATACAATATCATAAAAATACATGCGCCAAAGACTTCCTGTTGTCTTCTTTGTGGTTTCTGTCAGTAGCAACATCCTGTCGATCATTTGACTCGTGACGCAATAAAAAGCTTTTTCAAATTAAACCAATTTCATTATAGTGTTAAAACCAGTTGATACAAATGCTTTTATCAAAAAACAAGTTCTTTCTAAATTTCTGTTTCCATTAAGCTAATTAGTTTATAGATGTCAAATACAAGAATTACATGGAGACACAAATAATGAGGATTCCCAAAAACATCAGATGAACAGCTTCCAAACTGTTCGGTTTGAGTAACAAACATTCTGAGCTACGCTAATGCGTTAGGCTAACATGCAGAAGCGAGGTTAGCTCTGTTGTGTCTAGTTCAGAGCTAACCTAGCTCTTCTGTGAACCTAGCTTAAATGTACACATATAACAAACTGCTGAACTATAAAGATCTGGAATCTATCCTGATATTTCAAGCTTGTTCATTGAAAGACTAAAAGTAGAACCTGGTTTTGTTGAACTGTAGCTAAAACTTGTTTTTCTGCTTGGACTAGGACATTAAAACACAACACCACACACATAACCATAATATTCATTTTATTCTTTTAATGACAATATCCATCAGAACGGAGCTGATATTTGTTTTCTATTTAATTTCTGGGGCTTGATGAGGCTAGCGTTGGCAAACTGAAAGAGTTTTTTCCATGCACAGACTTTCCATCTACACTTCCTGAATCTAGAAGTTTCTGTCTGATGTAGAGGGATGTTCTCGCGGTCTACAGTCGGCTCTGAGCGAATGGACGATGATGTGAGAAAAATTTGACCTTTGGCCTTAAAAGCAAAACAAAAATCCAACAGTGTCACTGATGGCAGTGACCCGGCAGAAGGAAGCTGGATCAGAATACTGCAGCACTTATGATCACACGTCTGACAACCGTAAAAATAATATCTGAGACTTTTATATAAATAAGACAAAAATCCACAGATGCTCCAGAGTTCAGAGGTCATCAGCGACATGCTGAGCAGGAAAGTTGAGGATGTGTCCAAACCTTCTCGGCAGCATGCCAGTGAGGGAATGCATGTGTCGGGCTACTCAGCTAGCATTCGCTACTGTTGGAACTGGGAACGCTGGGAACGCTGGGGGAACGTTGGGAATCCTTCCTCCGTGGAGCGTCAAGGCTTCGCTGGCTGGATGGAGAGCAGGCTGCCGAACTTAAAATGCTGGATCACTGGGAACTTCTCCAAACACTGAAAACACGACAGAGAGCGAGACGGATTAGCAACAGGAGCTAAAACCGCTGCTAAAGGAAAACAAGCTAACGAAGAGCAGGCTAATGAAAAGAAGGCTAATGAAGAACAGGCTAAAGGAGAAGAAAAGCAGAATAGAGACTTCTCCAAAAGCAGGAAGTGGACTACAGCCCAGTGTATTCTGGGTAAACACAACCAGAGCTAACTTGCTAGCCTAACGCTAGCAGCAGAAATGGCTCCTGGTCCTCCAACACTAAAATCTGACGCCTCCATTTTGTTTCCATCTGGTGAAACAGGAAGTTGCTCTCAGTGGTTCTTGGCGCAGCGCCCCCACAGGCCAGGAGGGGAACAGGTTGGTGGTTTGTGTTCTATTGTAAATCAGTTTGTCATAAACGTCTTTTAAAAGCTGCTGTAGAAATAAAATTTACTTACTTGCTAATATTAGTTTAAGCCACAAACTGCTTTGTTTGGAAAATAAACTGAATAAATGTCGTATCTGTACATTCATTTGATATTATTTCTGATTAATATCAGGATGCTGGATGTTTTCACTCCTCTGCAGTTTAAATCGATTTAAACTGACCGACCATCATTTTGACTCATGGAGACATTTTGGACCGATTCTGTTTACTGACGATTAAAAGTAACTTTATAGTCAACCGGTCCGAACCGAATCAGAACCAAAATGAATTCAAAGATGATGAAATATGAAACGTTTCACATCATGTAGGTTTCAACATTCTCAAATATGAGAACAACACTAGTTGAAAGAACAACAGCAGAAAAGTCCAAAGAAAAACCTTCAGAACGCCTGAAAATCTGTTGAGCAAGAAGATTAAAGACAGTCAGAGTGACTTAAAGGAAAACTTCAAGAACCCGGATCCGCTCTCTGTGCGCACCAACCCGACCTGCGGTACCGACTTTCACTTTGAGCGAATCGTGAGCAGGGCAGCCGCTTTGTGCTGCGGCTTTGTGCTGCCATCTTTACTGGGGCGCAGCAGTGGGGGTCTGGAGGCTGGGTGGGGAGGGTCTGTGGGGGGCCTGTGGGTGTGTGGGGGGGTCTGTGGGGGGGTTTGTGAAGGGGGTCTGTGGGGAGGGGTTTGGGGGGGGGGGTTGTGGGGGGGTTGTGGGCCTGTGGGGGGGTTTGTGGGGGGGGTTGTGGGCCTGTGGGGGGGTTGTGGGCCTGTGGGGGCGGGGAGCCTGAATGCTCAGTCTGTCTGGGCGGTGACATTGCAGGTCACAATCATCCAGGCAGAACGGGGGAACAGAAGAATTGATATTTGATCAATTTATGTTTGGAAAATTAAAGAGTCACAGAGGAGAAAAGATTCATGCTCAGAAATATTTAAAATATCCTAAAACTGATCATAATTTGACCACTGATTATTAATGTTCTAATCTAATTAAGACCAAACAAAAACAGTATTTACCAGATTTTTATATTTGTTTCCTACTCATTAAGAAAATTAATTAAAAAGTTATAAATCTGGTTTCATTTTAGCAACTTTTACTCGTTAGCATGACTTTAGTTTAGTTTGATTTAGTTTAACATATTTATATTCCAAAAGGCTGAATTTAAATGAGCATTTTTCCATCTGCAGCTAAATGTAGCTTCCGCTAATAGCTTAGCCACAAGCTCTAATCTAAATATTCTGTTTTTTGTTTTAAATGTAATTTAACCTTCAAATAAAGCTTTTTTTTAAACTATAACATACTCTAGTTTTATTTTCATGAAGGCTTCATGGAAAACTAACTTGTGAATCAAAACATGGCTTCTTGTTGCTTCTGACTTCAGGCTAATTATTAGCCTAGCGAAAAGCTCAGCTGAGCTAGTGTTGATTTTGATGCAAATATCTATTTTTACAGAAACTTTTAAATGAATAAAACTAAACAAGGTTGATTTAATTCTTTCGGGTTTTTTCTTCTAACATGAATAAATTAGGCATGAAGTAAACTAGAAAAAAAATTGAATAATATTCTATTTCATTATTTTAAAAACCTATTTTATTTTCTCTGACCTCCTTTGCCTCTCAGAGAGCCGTTAAACACTCCATCCTGTTTCTGGTTTAGTTTCGTCAACAAACTCTTTTGTTTTTATGTTTCATTTGAAAACTGTAAGGAAAATAATCCGGAGTAAGTTTTGGAGTTTTTCTTAAACTGAGTGAGTTTCTGCGACTTTACCAACAAAAAGAAGAGAACCGAAGTAGGATGAAGTTCTTCTTCTGTTGTTTCTGCATCATGACTCAGTTAGACGGAGAACTTTGGTCTGCAGCTCAGCCCAAACCGTGTGTGGGGCCCGGGAAAGGGAGCGAGGAATGTGAGTCTGCTGATGGTTGCTTCAGGCTGGAGGAAGGTCGGACGGAGGGAGGGATGGAAGAGGAGGGAGGATTTAATGAAGGGAACGGGCAGGGGGAAGGGAACGCAGACAGCCTGGCCCCTCAGCTCTTTGGGAAGACTCACAGGCTGCTCTGGAAAACACAGGATGTGGGCATGCAGGCGGGGAGAACGGGCTTAGACATTCCCCCCATCCCACCCCCATCCGCCCACACACACACACACACACACACACACACACACACACACACACACACACACACACACACAGTCTCATTCTCTCCATTCTTGATTTAACCCTTTCCTGCCTCTGCAGCCCTCAGAACCAGTCTGGGTGTTTCAGTCAGAGCAACCCGGTTCTCTGCCTGGTTCCAGTAAAGTAAAAACTGCAGAAGTGAGCATCTTTAAACTAGCGCCTTTCAGCTAGCATCTTTAAACTAGCATCTTGAAACTAGCGCCTTTAAGCTAGCATCTTTAAACTAGCGCCTTTAAGCTAGCATCTTTAAACTAGTGCCTTTAAGCTAGCATCTTGAATCTAGCGCCTTTAAGCTAGCATCTTTAAACTAGTGCCTTTAAGCTAGCATCTTTAAACTAGTGCCTTTAAGCTAGCATCTTTAAACTAGCACCTTTAAGCTAGCATCTTAAAACTAGTGCCTTTAAGCTAGCATCTTTAAACTAGCGCTTCTGAGCTAGCATCTTGAAACTAGCGCCTTTAAGCTAGCATCTTAAAAGTAGCACCTTTAAGCTAGCATCTTAAAACTAGCGCCTTTAAGCTAGCATCTTAAAACTAGCGCTTTTGAGCTAGCATCTTGAAACTAGCGCCTTTAAGCTAGCATCTTAAAAGTAGCACCTTTAAGCTAGCATCTTAAAACTAGCGCCTTTAAGCTAGCATCTTAAAACTAGCGCTTTTGAGCTAGCATCTTGAAACTAGCGCCTTTAAGCTAGCATCTTTAAACTAGTGCCTTAAGCTAGCATCTTCAAACTAGTGCCACTAAACTAACTTTTAAGCTAGCATCTTTAAGCTAATCGAGTTTAAGCTAGTGCTTTAAAACTAGCGCCATTAAGCTAATGTTTTACGCTAGTGTCTTTAAGCTAGCGCCTTAAGCTAACTGTATAAAATCCACAAAGTTAATCTGTTTAAATCCCAGCAAATGAAAGATAACGTCTGAAGACGATTATAAAATGTTTTGTTTTTTTCCAAATGCGACATTTTGATCACTTCTCTGTGTTTACATAAGGATAATGTTTTAAGGGACAGAAAAGTTATGTTTTTTTTAAATAAAAATGAGACAAAGAGGGAAAATGTTTTTCATTGTAACTAATGTTCATTTATATTCAGTAAGTCAGAAGAAATGTCCTAATTATAGCGCCACCTGTAGGTGGAACCAAGTAATAATAACAATTGTAAACAAATACCGCAATTTTAAATTATGTTTTTACATTGTCAAAGCGACAGTCAAAGAAAGAACTGTTTAATTTCAAGACTCCGAAATGACGTAAAGCTTTCAGCTTATTTAGTGACTTTTTGTTCATTATTTGGGAGTTTAAATAAAATCCAATAAATCTGTGGGAGAAAAGGCCTCATTTCACCAGGAATCAGTTAGATCTATTCTGAAAAATTAATATTTCCATCTCTGTTTAAAATCGTTTGATGTTTATCTACATTCCTTTCTCCTTCTCTTATTAAAAACTTTTGATAAAATCTTTTCATCGTCTCATTTCACTGCAGTTAGAGGAAATGTTGAAGACGTCAGTAAACGTGAAACCAGCTTCAGAACCGAAAACAACCTTTTGTTTTACAGCCAAACGTTTCCGAGAAACTAGATCAGAAACACTGGAGCAGAAACACTGGAGGAGAAACACTGGAACAGAAACACTGGAACAGAAACACTGGAGGAGAAACACTGGAACAGAAACACTGGAGAAGAAACACTGGAGAAGAAACACTGGAACAGAAACACTGAAGATGAAACACTGGAACAGAAACACTGGAGGAGAAACACTGGAGAAGAAACACTGGAACAGAAACACTGGAACAGAAACACTGAAGATGAAACACTGGAACAGAAACACTGGAACAGAAACACTGGAGGAGAAACACTGGAGAAGAAACACTGGAGGAGAAACACTGGAGAAGAAACACTGGAGGAGAAACACTGGAACAGAAACACTGGAGGAGAAACACTGGAACAGAAACACTGGAGGAGAAACACTGGAACAGAAACACTGGAGGAGAAACACTGGAGGAAAAACACTGCAGGAGAAACACTGGAACAGAAACACTGGAACAGAAACACTGGAACAGAAAAACTGGAACAGAAACACTGGAGAAGAAACACTGGAACAGAAACACTGGAAGAGAAACACTGGAGAAGAAACACTGGAGGAGAAACACTGGAGGAGAAACACTGGAGGAGAAACACTGGAGAAGAAACACTGGAGAAGAAACACTGGAGGAGAAACACTGGAGGAGAAACACTGGAGGAGAAACACTGGAGAAGAAACACTGGAGGAGAAACACTGGAGGAGAAACACTGGAGGAGAAACACTGGAGGAGAAACACTGGAACAGAAACACTGGAGGAGAAACACTGGAGGAGAAACACTGGAACAGAAACACTGGAGAAGAAACACTGGAGGAGAAACACTGGAGAAGAAACACTGGAGGAGAAACACTGGAACAGAAACACTGGAACAGAAACACTGGAACAGAAACACTGGAACAGAAACACTGGAGAAGAAACACTGGAACAGAAACACTGGAGGAGAAACACTGGAGGAGAAACACTGGAACAGAAACACTGGAGAAGAAACACTGGAGAAGAAACACTGGAACAGAAACACTGGAGGAGAAACACTGGAGGAGAAACACTGGAACAGAAACACTGGAGAAGAAACACTGGAGGAGAAACACTGGAACAGAAACACTGGAGAAGAAACACTGGAGAAGAAACACTGGAACAGAAACACTGGAGGAGAAACACTGGAACAGAAACACTGGAACAGAAACACTGGAGAAGAAACACTGGAGGAGAAACACTGGAGGAGAAACACTGGAACAGAAACACTGGAGGAGAAACACTGGAACAGAAACACTGGAGAAGAAACACTGGAGAAGAAACACTGGAGAAGAAACACTGGAACAGAAACACTGGAGGAGAAACACTGGAGGTGTCTGAGTGTCTGGAATGTTGGATGAGATTTCCATGGATGTTCCAGATTATTCCAGATAATCCATCAGAATAAAACTTAAAGTTCAACATCAACGCGGCGAACTGCCTGGAGACAGAGCAGGAAGATTTGATCTCATTTTACCGTCTGGGCCAACATTGTTCTGATGTTTATGAGGAGCTCTATTGATCAGTGATTGGTTTCATTGATCAGTTTCATTGATCAGTGATAATTTCATTGATCAGTGATTGGTTTCACCTCTGCTTGTACATCCTGATCAGGCCCTGGTTGACTTTGGACCAGGACGGGACGGCGCTGATGTTCCATAGCTGGTTGGAGTGCTCAGCAAACGGACCCGTCTTCATCTGCAGAGCAAAGAGATGAGCAGAGATGATCAATTGTGTTGGCAAACGTCGTTACAACCATCAGAAAATAAAAGTTTAAATAAAGGAATGACATAAGAGACACAGAATAGAGAATTTTAACATTTAAGAAATATTAAAAGCAAAGTAGTGATTCAGATCCAAGTTAAATTATTATCAACAGGTTGGGTCAGTTATTATGCAGAGGCTTATTGTGACCCTGTTCCTACTTATAAACATTTAATAAGACATGAGCTGATCAGTAAATGAAAAATCACAATTTAAAACAATTATCTGAATAATTTGTACAACTTTTAACTGTTTCTAAATGTCACTTTCTTTCACACAATCTTCCTGCTTCAACACATTAAGGTTGATTAATTACATTTAAGGCAAATGATTGATCATTTTCTTTCATTTCTTTGAAATTTCCTAAAGTAAATCAGATTGTTGTTTTTGATGAAACCATCCTCATCTGGGAAAAGTTCAAGCGAACAAAGACATCCTGCAGACTTAATGTTTTCATTTCCTCCATAAACTCTTTGTACAGAACATTAATTAAACATTAATTAAATTCAACCAATATCATCTAGAATTTACTGAAATTGTGTTTGGGTTCCCTACTCTTTTAGTTTTTTTCATAAAGCAATATAGTTCTGACCTACTACTAATAATAATTCATTTTATTTGTTAGCTTTAAAGACACTTTACAACTGAACACCCAGGAACATCTGATTCACTTCATTTTGGTGAATTAAGTACAAAAACAAAACTAAACACAGTGAAACTTTGTCACTGAATTAAAAACTGGCCAAAGTCTAAATAAAATCTGGAGCTTTGGGATAAATGAATCAAACCCAAACCGTTCCTGCTCAGTTTTGCTCTCAACAAACGTTCAATCTGTGAACGTCTGAATGTGACGCCGGCTCCTTCCCAGCAGAGCAACCCGAGTCCGGACCCCGGGGCATCAATCTTAGAAAAAACCTCGTTTTTCCATCCCGCAGCCGAGCGCCGCTGCAACGCTTCCAGGGCCTCGCATGAGAAGACAGGGGAAGGGCGGGGCGGGGGCCGGGGGGCGGAGACGGGCCGTATTCCCTGGAGGAAGGAGTGATTCACAGCAGCATGTGGGGAAGGAAGTGACTCATGTTTGGGGCTTGCGCTCGCACACAAGCCCTGTGTCTGACGTTAACGCAGAAACACAGAGAAACAAGAGAAACAAGAGAAACGAGAGGCTGAGACACTAGGAGAGGAGAGGAGAGGAGAGGAGAGGAGAGAAGAGGAGAGGAGAGGAGAGGAGAGGAGAGGAGAGGAGAGGAGAGGAGAGGAGAGGAGAGGAGAGGAGAGGAGAGGAGAGGAGAGGAGAGGAGAGGAGAGGAGAGGAGAGGAGAGGAGAGGAGAGGAGAAATGAGAGGAGAGGAGGGGAGGGGAGGGGAGGGTAGGGGAGAGGAGAGGAGAGGAGAGGAGAGGAGAGGAGAGGAGAGGAGAGGAGAGGAGAGGAGAGGAGAGGAGAGGAGAAGAGAGGAGAGGAGAGGAGAGGAGAGGAGAGGAGAGGAGAAGAGAGGAGAGGAGAGGAGAGGAGAGGAGAGGAGAGGAGAGGAGAGGAGAGGAGAGGAGAGGAGAGGAGAAATGAGAGGAGAGGAGGGGAGGGGAGGGGAGGGGAGAGGAGAGGAGAAGAGAGGAGAGGAGAGGAGAGGAGAGGAGAGGAGAGGAGAGGAGAGGAGAGGAGAGGAGAGGAGAGGAGAGGAGAAACGAGAGGAGAGGAGAGGAGAGGAGAGGAGAGGAGAGGAGAGGAGAGGAGAGGAGAGGAGAGGAGAGGAGAGGAGAGGAGAGGAGAGGAGAGGAGAGGAGAGGAGAGGAGAGGAGAGGAGAGGAGAGGAGAGGAGAGAGGAGAGGAGAGGAGAGGAGAGGAGAACGAGAGGAGAGGAGAGGGAGGAGAGAGGAGAGGAGAGGAGAGGAGAGGAGAGGAGAGGAGAGGAGAGGAGAGGAGAGGAGAGGAGAGGAGAGGAGAGGAGAGGAGAGGAGAGGAGAGGAGAGGAGAGGAGAGGAGAGGAGAGGAGAGGAGAGGAGAGGAGGGTGTTTACGCTTTCAGCTGTAAACAAAGAGCAGCAAACAGAGTCGGGTCCAAACAGGACAGAACAAAAAGAATAAAACGCTCTGTGTCACGTGCAACGATTCCCGGATATTCTGCCTTTTAAATTCTTCAGCTTCACTTCCACAGTAAATACTGCTGTTGCTATGGTTACCGGCGCTTAAAGAAAGCCGACAAATGGAGCAGAAACCAGGAAGTGAAGTTCTTGATGATGACTGATGAACATCTTCTGCTCTGGGCTCTGAAGAAAGGTTTTATTTTAAAATAAAACTTTTTTGGAAGAGCGATGAAAGAAACTGTGAAAGTCCAGAACCAGAACCAGAACCAGAACCAGAGAAACGGACTTGAACCGGCAGGCAGTGAACAACACAATCAGGTCAGACGGTGATGAATCATGACCTTAGCAAGCAGAACGAGTTCATCCCAGGAACAGGAAATGTTTCCGCACTCAGCTCTTATCCACCGAGGCTAACAGATCGGCTAACAGATCGGCTAACAGATCGGCTAACAGATCGGCTAACAGATCGGCTAACAGATCGGCTAACAGATCAGCTAACAGATCGGCTAACAGATCAGCTAACAGATCGGCTAACAGATCGGCTAACAGTCAGTTTCATAAAGAAGCTAACAACAAGCTGGTTAGGAGGAAACCTGAAACAGGGCGGCACGTCTGGACCTCAATCAGCCCACGTGACCTTTGACCTGTAGTCCTCCAAACCTCAGTCTGGGTTTGGTTGAAGTGAACTGTGGTTCGGTTTGATATGTGAACCCGAAGCGGACCAGAGAGCGCTCCAGAAACAGGAAGTGGACGCAGAACGCCCTGCCTTTAGCCAGAGACTACAGAGAAATCCTCCAGCCGCTAAATCTCCATCTTGTTTCCATCTGGTGAAACAGGAAGTTGTTCTCAGTGGTTTCTGTGTGGTTTCCTTCAGTGGTTCTTGGTGCAGCGCCCCACAGGGGGAGGAGAACAGCTTGGCTGGACTCAGAAACACAGCAGCTGGGTTTGGGTTCATGTTTTTTGGTGTCTGCAAAATTAGACACTAAGGTCACAAATCTGCTCCTCAGGCCGTTGCCTAGCAACTCAAGCACACTTGTTCAGCTGCTTTTTCCGCTGTACAATGGCTGCTGGAAAACACACCATCCAAGAACCACTTTGGAGGCTCTACTAATGCCTTTCACAGATGTATGGTTGTATAATTGTGTAAACATTGAGATTGGCCAGCAGCAGCTTATTTGGATTTAAAGTGGCAGAGGCCATAAAATATGCAAAACAGACTGAAATCTGATGATCTGAGGATGATTTGTACAAGAATATAATGAACATGTTTTGTATAGACCATAGATGAATCCCAACATGTTCAAGGAAGCATCATAGGCCGGTTTTAAATTAATAATTTCATCTGTAGAGAGTAAAAAACAGTTTTAAACCGCCTATTAATGCTGGAAGTAAATCAGAAATATCTCCAGCCTTGATTCCACGAATCAACCCACAGAAATATAATTTAATGAGCGAGACGAGGGGAAAGGTCGGGCTCAGGCAGGAGAAGGAAAAAGGTGAAGGAGGTGTTCCACTGGGAAGACTGGGAAAAGGAAAAAGGATGTAGCCGCTCCGCTGACGCCCACTCCGGCTTCCCTCCCCTCCTTTTTCCTCCAAAACTCCCAAAACAAAGCACTCAGTTCCTGCTCTGGCAGACGACCAAGCAGTCCATCTGCCCACACACACACACACACACACACACACACACCACACACACACACACACACACACACACACACATAGACACACACACACACACACACAGCTATACACACACACACACACACATAGACACACACACACACACACACATAGACACACACACACACACACAGACACACACAGCTATACACACACACACACACATAGACACACACACACACACATACACACACAGACACACACACACACACACACACACACACACACACTCACACACACACACACACCCATAGACACACACACACACACATAGACACACACACACACACATAGACACACACACACACACACACACACACACACACACACACACAGACACACACAGCTATACACACACACACACTCACACACACACACACATAGACACACACACACACACACAAATACACACACACACACACATAAACACACACACACAGACACACATAGACACACACACACACAGACACACACACACACACACACACACACACACAGACACACACATAGACACACACACACACACACACACAGACACACACACACACATAGACACACACACACACACACACAAATAGACACACACACACACATAGACACACACATACACACACACACACACACACACACACACACGCACGCACGCACACACACACACACACACACACACACACACACACACACACACACACACACACACACACACACAACACACACACACACACAGTCTTCCTCTTCCTGGACAAACCCACATTCAGCTGCGGCTGAATTTATTTCCATCTGAATCTGTGGAAAGTTAAAAAATAAAGTGCTAAAATTTAAAGATAATTAGTTTAATGAAACATGAACTGATTAAAATGTAGATGATGGGAAAATGTCGATGTTAGAAATGAATAATATTGGATTATGATGAACATTAATTCAAGAAAACATTTTATGTTATTGAAACTTTTATTTTGACCCAAATTATTGAAACAAATCCCTGAAAACGTGAAGTTTGATTTGGAAACAGATGAAATGACTGAATATAGAAATGCTTCATATTATGGAAGTAGTTTTGATTTTCATTCATTTTCCAGTTGATGATGGTTCTGACCCAGTTAAACATCCAGAACCTTCTAGATTTAACGGTTTCTCTGTCCAGTCGTATGACTTCCTGGTTTCTGACCAATCACAGCCCAGCGGGCTCTCTCATTGGCTGCCAGTTAATTTCCGCTCTAATTGGTTCTGGACAAACTGGACCTGCAGGTTCTGTTCAGCTCTGCTACAGAAACATTTACTTTGTGGACCCAGAAGGTTCTGGTTTCGTTGGTATTATAGTCCAGTTCCAATCACCATGGCAACTGGTGACTCAGCAGATTCTTCTTGAACTATAAATCAGTTTAAAATGTTTTCTAAAGCTTTATGGTACCAGTAGATTTATTGCATCAACATGAAATAACTAATAATAATGAACAGAAACCTTGATTTATTGTGTTTGATACAAGAAAATGGTAAATAACCCAAAATTAATCTCTTTATTTGACTCTTTATTTAGTTTTAACCATTAACTCCATATTAGAGGTGTGATGCTCTTATTTTGAAGGGATCGGTACATTTATTATGATGTCTATAATATAAATAAAAACTCATTTTAAAAGCTGCGTGATGAAAACTCTGCATTTATTTAATTAAATGCCAAAACTAAAGCTAATTTCAGGTTGTGACTGATATAATCGTTTTGACGAATAGTTTTAGTCTGGGTGTCTCTTCTTAAAGTTTCCTCCAGAACGCTGCACTGATCTGTCCTTAGTTCCTCCCTTTAACATTAATGCAGCTCGTTCAGTACCAAACCCAGCGGACCCGATATTCTGCTGAATACACGACCAGTAATAAGCTTCGAAAAAACAAAAATCTGTAATTTATTCTCAGAAATAGGAAAACAAAGCAACAGTTTTATGATGTTTTTTTAAAGGAAACACTAATAACTGAAAGAGAAACAGAATCTGTTTTAACTCCTGGTTGTTCTGGAAATTTGATCAGTTTTTAAATATATTAACCTGAAAACATGGAATTCTCCTCAGATATTTCATCATTTATCAATAATATTCATACTGAGGATTATTTGTAAATTCATATAAATGAGCTTAAATGAGTTTCATTGAAACAGAAGCAGAAGTTTGGGTTTTGGACCAGAGAAGATCTGGAAACTGGATTTATAATCCTGGTTCTGCATGAATAAATAAAGCAGTGGGTGTCGGACCGGACCGGTTCTGATAGATCGGACCGGTTCTGATGGATCGGACCGGTTCTGATGGATTGGACCGGTTCTGATGGATCGGACCGGTTCTGATGGACCGGACCGGTTCTGATGGATCGGACCGGTTCTGATGGATCGGACCGGTTCTGATGGACCGGACAGGTTCTGATGGATTGGACCAGGTCTGATGGACCGGACCGGTTCTGATGGACCGGACCGGTTCTGATGGATTGGACCGGTTTCTGATGGATTGGACCAGGTCTGATGGACCGGACCGGTTCTGATGGATTGGACCAGGTCTGATGGACCGGACCGGTTCTGATGGATTGGACCGGTTCTGATGGATCGGACCGGTTCTGATGGACCGGACAGGTTCTGATGGATTGGACCAGGTCTGATGGACGGACCGGTTCTGATGGACCGGACCGGTTCTGATGGATCGGACCGGTCTGATGGATTGGACCTGGTCTAAGGGACCGGACCGGTTCTGATGGATCGGACCGGTTCTGATGGACCGGACCGGTTCTGATGGATCGGACCGGGTCTGATGGATCGGACCGGTTCTGATGGATCGGACCGGTTCTGATGGACCGGTTCTGATGGATCGGACCGGTTCTGATGGACCGGTTCTGATGGACCGGACCGGTTCTGATGGATCGGACCGGTCTGATGGATCGGACCAGGTCTGATGGACCGGACCGGTTCTGATGGACCGGACCGGTTCTGATGGATCGGACCGGGTCTGATGGATTGGACCAGGTCTAAGGGACCGGACCGGTTCTGATGGATCGGACCGGTTCTGATGGATCGGACCGGGTCTGATGGATCGGACCGGTTCTGATGGATCGGACCGGTTCTGATGGACCGGTTCTGATGGATCGGACCGGTTCTGATGGACCGGTTCTGATGGACCGGACCGGTTCTGATGGATCGGACCGGGTCTGATGGATCGGACCGGTTCTGATGGATCGGACCGGGTCTGATGGACCGGACCGGTTCTGATGGACCGGACGGCGTCGTTTTCTCACCTCGTTAATGAACCGGATGCAGTCCAGGAAAATGTAGTCCTGGTGCTGCTCGTTCACCACTCTCTCATCGATGAAATGCCGCGGCTCCAGAGTCGGATGATCTGAGGACAGAGCAGCGTTAGTCACCACCGGGTGGCGCCGCGCCGCAAGGCACATTTAAAAACTCTCTGTGGGACCGGGTCAGTTCAGTAACGATGTCCTGATTTATGAAATGATTTTATCTTCGTGCCAATAGCAAATGAGGTGGATTAGCAGGGCTTCTTCAGTCAGAGGCCCCTCCAGAGTCGTAACACTGACTGCTACAGGAGATCAGCATCACATTGACTGTGCAGATACTTGGATGTTAAAAGTTACGCCAACATTTTGTTTCTTTCTACCATAAATAAAAATGTTTCTGGATTTAAATAACTAATAAAATACAAGTTTACATAATTACAGTTAGATTTATTTAAAAACTTCTTGGTCAAAGAAATCATTAAAATATTAACCAGCTGTTTAAAGGTTAAAGGTCACTGAAGCAACATGGCTGCTTTAGAAGGACTCAAGAACAAAATATCACATAAACAAACAAATCCCTGCATTTTTCATGCTCAAAAATTATTGTGTTTTTTGCAATTTTCACCTAAAAATTGCCAAAACTATTTATTTTAAATGATGCTAATTCCCACCTCAGCCTGAATTTAGGTTGAGTTTTAATCCGAGGAACAAAAACCAGACAAAGAAAGTAACTTCAAGAAATAAAAATCTGGTTGTTTTTCTGCTTTTTGTAGATTTTAGAAAGTAAAATATCACAAGTTCTTGCAAATATTTATAGAGTAGGACGAGGCCTGTCACAAAGAAGCAATAAATTAAAATGAGATCAATAATTTGCATATGTATGATTTATTATTTTTCTCTTTCTACCAACAATAAAACTCTCCAGTCTGCTGCTTTGGTTTCAACTAAACTTTTTTCTGAAGCATAATTTTGTTTGCAGATTCTTAATAATTAATTTTATTTGTTGTTTGTTTATTGTTGATATGTAAAATGTTTTTCAGTTTCAGTTGTCAGTTAGAATTTAAAGTTTATTGATATTTCAGAATATGATTTATGCATTATCTGCAACAGAATGACTGAAGAGATGTTGAAATGGTCTAGTCAAAGTCCAGACCTCAATCTGACCCAAATACTGGATTGGACTGAAGCTCCCCTGCTGGATCGTATGGGACTGCTGCCCCCTACTGGTCACAAACATTTACTACGTCAGTTTTTATCTCCAAACTCCAAAATAATCCAAAAAATAAAAGTTATGTTTGTTCTCAGTTTGTAGAACTGACTTTTCTTCTTCTATGGTAAAGACACATTAACCTGACCAATCAGGCTGCTCTGCTGATGTCACTTCCTGCCTGCCTCACCTATGAACTGGGAGCTGCCCCAGATGAAGGGCAGGAACTGGAAGTCGTCCAGTCCCCAGACGCCCTGGCTGCCGGCCGGCTCCATCCTGTAGGTCCGCTGCAGCTTCCGCATCACCTGCAGGTACCTGCAGACACGCAACGCCTGGAGGCTCAACAACAGGCTCTAAAGTATTTACACCCTACAGGGCACTTTCTTTTTGCTCTTTGTCACTTCAAATGCTAAAATCAGCGATAGACGATTCCTAATAAACATCATCCTATGACTTAGTAACTTTGTATTTAATACAATATTAAAAGTGATTAAATATATTACTGAAGCTGCTAGTTTTCATGTTTAGCTCCTAACAGGAAGTGATGGTTGTTTTGAATCAATCTGATTGGCTGATTGGTTTTAGCTCAGTGCTGCACTGCCCCCTATGGGCTGGAATGTTTAAAGCATCGCTGCGCATGAAAAACGTCTCTGAGACAGATACAGTTACTGTTAAACGGGCGTGGATTTGATTTTATAAACACCTGGTTGTGTTTGGAAAAGTCTAAGTGTGACAAACAGCAAAGCAGAGTCTGACCTCCTGACCCGTCTGACCCTCCTGACCCGTCCTGCGGTGCCGCTGCCTGGGCGTCTCACCTGTTGAACACCTTGAAGACGATGGCCAGCTGGTCAGAGATACTCAGGGCGCCGACCTTACAGAGGCAGCAAAGAAACGCAGCGAAAGCCGCTTCATGACCTGAACAGACAAACAGAACTGGGTCAGAACCGTCCTGACGTTTGGATTAACTGACCTCAACCTGGAAACACTTTGACCTTTGACCCGGAAGTGCTCCCAGACGGAAAACAAGGCTTTTTATCTTTTATAGATAAATAATGAACTAAAACTGCAGTTCAGTGAAAGAACCTCTGGCTGTTTGAGAGGGAATGATGGAGAGCGGAGGTTCTGATCCGGACCGGTACCTGTCCCGTAGTCGATTCGGGTCGGATTCCCGACAGCTTCCTTCAGGTAGACGGCGATCTCCGGAGCGGCGGCGGCTTTCTCTGCAGGCAGCACGCCGGCCACCAAGGCCTCGGCTTCCTGAAACGCAGACAGAACGTGATCCGAGCCCGCGCCGACACGGACCGGACAGAGGCGGTTCTGACCAAACCTGCTCCAGCTTGGAGAACCAGGTTCTGTACGCCTTGTTGCCGAAGCGGGACGGCTGGTCGACCGGAGGAGTTTCGTTTATCCACTGGTCCAGAGTTCCCAGAAGGCCCAGCAGCTTCTCCACCGTCTGGAAAACCAACAGAACCGGTTCAGTTCTGACCCATAACCCGGTCCTGATGAAACCTTGAACAGGAAAACAAGAAAGCAGCTTCCTGTCCCCTGTCATTTGAGTTGCTAATGTATAAAACTACTAAATGTTTAAAAATCTTTAAAAACTTCCATTAAAACATCTTAGAAAAAGTAAAGTCACCTCAGAGACTTCGTATTCACAGGTCAGCTTCTTCCCTTTCACTCCTTCGTTCAGGGTCAGGATGAAGCCTATGTAGTCAGCGTAGGCCTGGACGGGTCAGCACACAGAACCAGAACCTTTCACAGCAGCAGCTCTAGTTCCTGTCTGGGAGTTTCAACAGGAAGGACTCGTACCTGAGAGCGTTTCCACTTCCCCATGTCGGGCACCATGCTGATTTCCTTCTTGGGGATGATGTAGGCCGTCGCGGCGTCAGGCGCCTCATCTTCAGGAGAAGATGCTGGAAAGAACCAGGTAGACATTATTATCATCTGATCCGGTTCAGTTAGTTCTTATCATTAAATCATTTTTCCAAACTGTCATTTGGTTTTGGACTCATGGCTTCTTCCTCTCAGAGCGACATGTTGGTGCAGGACTGGTTTCAGCCAGGAGCTTCAGAATGTCTTCAGCTTTTCTTCTGTGGTTCAGTCACACATTTCAAAGCAGAACCGGTTCTTCTCTGGGACACAGAACCCGTTCTTCTCTGGGACACAGAACCCGTTCTTCTCTGGGACACAGAACCGGTTCTTCTCTGGGACACAGAACCCGTTCTTCTCTGGGACACAGAACCCGTTCTTCTCTGGGACACAGAACCCGTTCTTCTCTGGGACACAGAACCCGTCGCTGTCTGGCGACTCCATCGTGTTTTTACCTGATTAAAACAGATGAACCTGGAAGCTCCAGGAAACTGGACCAACATGAACCAAACATCATCTGGGCTTTATTGTTTAAAATGCATTTTTATCACCGTGTATGTCAAACTTCTGACTTTAAATAATTAAAATCCTCTCATTATTCTGACGTTCAGTTTATATAATTTATCAGCTTTATGTTAGAAAGATAAATTCTCCCTTGTTTTGCATTTCCATCCAGAGAAAGACTGATCAATCAATTTAACAATAAATACATAAAAAATAAACAATAAGGCAGGATATCATCTTTAATTTCCATGCCAAGTCATTTTATTCTTGTTTTGTTTTAATTAAAGCTGAATTATTTTCCTTCCAGACGAACTAAACTGCAGCAACAACTAGAAGCTTCAAATGATGTAATTATTAAAATTATACAGGATTTAAAGGATAAAAAGAGATTCTGCAGGGAAATAATCATCGCTATTCGATCACTGCTGTGAAAGTTATGAATGTTAAAACCTGAAAACATTTTCTGAACCAGTCCAGGTTAAACAAGCACCAAATTAATGTCCAGATAAACCAGTTTGAATTTCCAGCCGTAAAATGTAGAAAAGCCGCGGAACTGCTGGGAGGGGAACCATTGTTCCCAGTTAAACAGCAGAACTGGTGACAGACAGCAGAAACATCATATTTACCTGACTGCTGCTCTGTTTCCGCCATGGCGAGCCGCACTCTTCTTCTACGTTCTCTTCACAAGATTTGAAGCATAGGTTTAAACCAGACGCAGTTCAACACTGCCCCCAGGTGGCGGATTTGCACCACTACATCTGGAAACGCAGATCAACAAAATTCAAAAGTTAAAACTTTATTCTCTGATATTTACCATAGAAAAGAGACTGAAAGTCTCCCAGAGTAGATTACAAAAGACTAAATAAGATTGTAATGTTCTTGCAGTTAACAGTCGGTTTAGAGAAACAAGCAAACGAAACAAAACAATGTATAATTATGGCATTTTTCACTTCATAAAATTACTGTAATTAAACCAGGCTTTAACTGGAGCCTTTAATAATTATAACAAACAAATAAACCATTCCAGAATAATTCAGAAAAAAAGAAATCCGTATAAAAATTAGATCAAGTGAAACAGATTAGACCAACATTTCTTGTAATAAAACTGACATTTGCAAAGAGTTACATCTTTAAATTGTAATAAATAACACTTGAGGACTCCATCTGAATTTGAGGAAAAATTAACTTTTTTGTGTCCTAAAATGACGGTGATAAACACACCGTCCACCAATAAACAACCAAAAATAATATTTTTTCTATGAATTTTAAATAAATGAAGTCAGTTGGTAATAAAATCTTTTTTTTCTAATAAAATAGAAGTAAGCACAGCTTCATGAACATCTGTGTCTGTATGTAATGTAATAATGTAAGTGTAATAATGTAAGTGTGTTATTTGTGTTGCATGAGCCTAGAACCTGCAGGGTCCAGCAGAACCTAGAACCTGCAGGGTCCAGCAGAACCTAGAACCTGCAGGGTCCAGCAGAACCTAGAACCTGCAGGGTCCAGCAGAACCTAGAACCTGCAGGGTCCAGCAGAACCTAGAACCTGCTCTGCACGTCCCGCTCCTCTTCCTCAGGAGGTTTTCCTCAGCATGTCAGCAGCTCAGCGGATCCCTGCGGTTCAGTGGATCCCTGCGGTTCTTTCTCGGTTCATCTGAGTTTCTTCTGAGGTTTTTAGCAGTGAGACCTCGCGCTGAGCGGCTGATCCTCCCCGGATTCAGATCACGGTTTGTGGGCGTTTCTGAGCCAGAATGTTGGCTTTTTGCAGCAGAACTGTGGTGAGTGGAACAACTCCAGCTAATGTAGCAGAGAAACTCTTAAATCTGTAGAAATATTTCAAGCTGACCAACACAAACTGCATCTGACCTTTATTAAGAACTTCTGGTTTATTCGAGCAGCTTTATTCACTCTGACACTTTAGTTTTTGGTGTTTTCTGGCTAAAACAGAGCGCTGAAGTTTCCTAGCTGTTAGCTTAGCTCTCGTTAAAGTGAACGGAGCTAATTAGCTCGAGTGGCTAACAGGCTAACTGGGTGAAAGGTCATTTTAACTGGGTTAGTTGGGAATAAACCAGCTGGAACTCCTCATTGTTTTATCTGCCAATAAGGTCCAAACGCTTTTATTATTGAACAACATTTACCGATATAATTTGTTAGATTTGTCTAATTTTAGAGCCTTTTTGGGCTATTTTTGATGTTTTTTATTCCAATTAAGCTGCTGAAAACTGCTGAAAACTTCAATTTATGTTTAGTTTTATTTTCTAAATCAAATTCTTCTCTGCAAAACAGTAACTTTCAGGTTAATGTTCCCTAATGCAGCAGCAGCTGTCGATCTGTGACTTTTACAGAAACTTTTCTAAAAACTCTCTGAAGGTCACAATGGAAACACTCAGAAGTACTAGCATTCAGAGAACACTTTAGGGAACTCTATGAACATGAAGTTCCCTAAAGTTTCTTACAGTAGGGAATATTTGTCATGTTCCTGACTATAAAGCTTAAATGTTTTCTGGTCTACTCTTCACTGAATTACCTGAGGTTGTTTATTCAGCTGAAACTTTTCCAGGAATGTTCCCTAAAGGTTCCCTGAACTTTTGTGGTGACTTTCACTGTGTGGCAATTTAAAATAAGTTTCAGATAAATATTCTCTTTCGGTTTTCTAAATGTTAGAAAGATTCTTTGACCCACAGGGAACTTTAGGAAACTTCATATGAAGTTTAAACAGAGTTTAAAATCCAGGGAACATTCTCTGAAGGTCGAATGTTTTCTTCACAATCAGAAATGTTTCAGTGAATGTTTTCTGAAGGTTGATTGAAAGTTAATTTCTACTTTCATGTGGTATTTTTATGTTATTAATAACTGTTTTAAGTGATTTTAAATGGAGATTTTGTGTGAATTGCATGTTTCTGTGAATGTTGTCAAAGTTAACTTTCTTCTACTGACAATCAGGGAACCTTCTGGGAACGCTTACACAGATTCACAAAACATTCATTCACCTCAGCTGATGAATGAATGTTTATTTCAACACCTGATCAGTTCAACAGGAATAGAACTGTTAGCATGTTTAACAGTAGAGCTGTTAGCATATTTAACAGTAGAACTGTTAGCATGTTTAACAGTAGAGCTGTTAGCATGTTTAATATTAGATCTGTTAGCATGTTTTAACAGTAGAGCTGTTAGCATGTTTAACGGTAGAGCTGTTAGCATGTTTAACAGTAGAGCTGTTGGCATGTTTAACGGTAGAGCTGTTAGCATGTTTAACAGTAGAGCTGTTAGCATGTTTAACAGTAGAGCTGTTGGCATGTTTAACGGTAGAGCTGTTAGCATGTTTAACGGTAGAGCTGTTAGCATGTTTAACAGTAGAGCTGTTAGCATGTTTAACAGTAGAGCTGTTAGCATGTTTTAACGGTAGAGCTGTTAGCATGTTTAACAGTAGAGCTGTTAGCATGTTCAACGGTAGAGCTGTTAGCATGTTTAACAGTAGAGCTGTTTAGCTTGTTTAACAGTAGAGCTGTTAGCATGTTTAACGGTAGAGCTGTTAGCATGTTTAACGGTAGAGCTGTTAGCATGTTTAACAGTAAGCTGTTAGCATGTTCAACAGTAGAGCTGTTAGCATGTTTAACAGTAGAGCTGTTAGCTTGTTTAACAGTAGAGCTCTTAGCATGTTTAACGGTAGAGCTGTTAGCATGTTTAACGGTAGAGCTGTTAGCATGTTTAATATTAGAGCTGTTAGCATGTTTAATATTATATCTGTTAGCATGTTTTAACAGTAGAGCTGTTAGCATGTTTAATATTAGAGCTGTTTAGCATGTTTTAATATTAGATCTGTTAGCATGTTTAACAGTAGAGCTGTTAGCATGTTTAACGGTAGAGCTGTTAGCATGTTTAACGGTAGAACAGTTAGCATGTTTAACAGTCACAGGTCTCCTTGTCTCCAGTGGAAGGCTGTCATGGTGAGACCGTGTCACCTGGTGAAACCCGTCTCTGCCACCCCGGTGGCCGGCAGGTACCTGAGCCACCAGAGGGGGCTGCCGAGCCTGCCGGTACCCCCGCTGCAGCAGACCTGCGAGCGCTACATCTCGGCCCTGGAGCCCATCGTGGAGGCGGAGGAGCTGAGGCGGACCCGGCGGCTGGTCCAGCAGTTCCAGGAGGCCGGCGGCGTCGGGGAGCGGCTGCAGAAAGGCCTGGAGAGACGGGCGAGGGACACAGAGAACTGGGTACGTTCAACGCTCAGACAGACGGCTGTTAAACCGCTGCATCATTAGATTCTCCTTATAGAGCTGAACTCAAACTGGAACAGTTTCCACATATTTAATTTGGTGGATTTCATTTGACATGTCTGAGTAGAAAAAAAAGTTTCTACATTTAAAACACAGAAATTAGTTCCAGGCCTGTTTTAAAATGATTCAGTCCAAATTATTCCTAATACAACACATCTTTGTGATTATCTGATTTAAAGTTAATGCAAACTCAGTTTTTGTATGTTTTTATTCTTCTATTTGAGCCTCTACTACTTATAGAAACAAAGCACAGAAAAAAATATTCCGTCGTCTCTCTGCAAGAAGCTCATGTTATTTGGTGCCTGGTGAACGGGCCATTTGAAAAACCTCCCTGTTGTTTGAGTCACACTTTGCCGTTACCGAGCAACCACAGTGGGGTTCTGCCTGTTACCTAGCAACCTCAGTAGAGTTCTGCATGTTACCTAGCAACCCCAAAACCTTTGGTCAGCTTCATGTTCTGTACAATGGCTGCTGTAAAAGACAAGAGTTTTGTTATTGACTTATATCCAGAAACCTCTTGCTGCAATCTGGTCGGTTGTGCAGGAGGCTCTACTAATGCTTTTCAAAGATGTACAGGTTTTAAATGCATGTGCGTCGCAGCGATTTTCACGTGTGAGTGTAAACCCTGAGTTGGGGGCGTGGCCAACAGCAGATTATCTGGATTTTTAAACTCATGAACTTCTTTCCTTAATCTTCACGTTTTTTCATCCTGCAAAGACCTTGAAAGTCCTTGAATTGCTTTGCTTCCTGCACGTTTTTCCACCTTCCTGTGGTTCTGCTCGCAGCTCTCCCAGTGGTGGGTCCAGGTGGCCTACCTGGAGTACCGGCTGCCGGTGGTGGTCCACTCCAGTCCAGGCCTGGTTCTGCCCAGGATGGACTTCAGGGACAAACAAGGACAGATCAGGTGAACAAACAAACGTTTCTACTGATCCTGGTGGTGTTGGGCTGAATTGACCTTTAGTACCTGAAATGATTTACTTCTCAGAGAATCAACCTTTGGTTTGTTCCTCGTTCCGTTTGTTTTAGCCAGTTTGTTCTGTTTGTCTCTGTCTTTCTTGCCCATTTTCTTCTCAGAGTTTAAAATGTTCCTCTAGTCCTGATGAGTCTGGATGGGAGTAAAAACTCAAACTGACCTGTAGTTTTATTTCCAGGCTTGAACTCCGACCCCAGAATGACCTCTGTCTCTCTCTCCAGGTTTGCTTCCAAACTGATCGCTGGAGTTTTAGACTTCAAGACGATGATCGATAAGTGAGTCCTGCAGCCGTTTTTGTCTGATTTCTGGTCATCAGATGAGTTTGAAGGTTTTCCCAGTGTTTGATGTGTCAACTGGTTGGTTTCCAGTGAGACTCTCCCAGTGGAGTTCCTGGGCGGGAAGCCGCTGTGTATGAACCAGTTACTACGAGGTTCTGTCGTCCTGCCGGATCCCCGGCGTCAGCAGAGACTCTGTGGTGAACCACGCCA